GCTGAGTCAGTGTGAGATAGCTCACAGTTTTTTAGCCTCCGGCTCACACATTTTCCCCTTCGCTCAGGAAGGGATGGCTCCAGAGCAAACTGATTTATGCAGGGGCCCAATCGCTCGCTCACAGCTTTCATGCCTGCAGCTCAACAAAGTAGAATTTTTGCTCACAAGACTCCGCCGCTTAGAGGGAGCATTGGTCTGAGGTGCCCATTCACAGGGCCACACTAATCAGCCCCCCCCTTTGGAATCACCGGAACTGGCCCACCACTCAGTGTGGCAAGATGGGTTTTGTGAGAAGCACTGTAACTGCTTTGGAACGGCCAGGCTATTAAATTGCACGACTCGGTTCAGTCGGCCAAGGAAAGGGGGGGGGCTTGTCTCTTTTTGTGAGCGGCTAACTGCAGGCGGTGGGGTGGTGGTGGAGAGAGTAGGAACTGGCTGGCAGGCAGACCAGTCCGGTGTTTGGTCTTCTCCCTTGGACACCGATCAGGATGGGAGCCACGAAATCTTGAGACAAGGGGCTATTCTTCTCCCTTGGCTGGCTCCAGTTGGGAAGGGGGAAAGGAGAGTTGCGTTAAAGACTCAGGGGAAGAGACAGTGGAGGCGAAGAAGGGGGTCGAAAGGGCAGCTTCCCTCCTTCCCATGGCTTCAGGTGAAGAGAAGAGAGGAATTTGAACCCTCTGACCGCCTGGCTGGCCGCCACGGTGAGGGCAAGCTGTCCATTTTGGATGCAAATGGACTTGGCCGGCTGCGGAACAGCGGGCTTTCTCAATCGGGTGGCTGGCCGGCCACCAAACTACACAGTGGCCGACCAGTTCCTCTGGAGGGCCATCAACAGGGTGTAGAGGCCAAGGCCTTCCCCTGAGAAGAACATTAGAAGAGCCCTGCTGGATCAGACCAGTGAGGGTCCATCCAGTCCAGCCTCCTCTCTCACACAGGGACCAGCCAGTTCCTCTGGAGGGCCAACAAAGAGGGCAGAGAGGCCGAGGCCTTCCCCTGAGAGGAACAGCAGAAGAGCCCTGCTGGATCGGACCAGGGATGGTCCACCTAGCCCAGCATCCCGTCTCACACGGGGGCCCAACCTGGAGGGCCAACAACAGTGCAGACAGTCCAAGGCCTTCCCCTGAGAAGAACCTCAGAAGAGCCCTGTTGGGTCAGACCAGGGAGGGTCCACCTAGTCCAGCATCCTGTCTCACACAGGGGCCAGCCAGTTCCTCTGGAGGGCCATCAACAGGGTGTAGAGGCCAAGGCCTTCCCCTGAGAAGAACCTCAGAAGAGCCCTGTTGGGTCAGACCAGGGAGGGTCCACCTAGTCCAGCATCCTGTCTCACACAGGGGCCAGCCAGTTCCTCTGGAGGGCCATCAACAGGGTGTAGAGGCCAAGGCCTTCCCCTGAGAAGAACCTCAGAAGAGCCCTGTTGGGTCAGACCAGGGAGGGTCCTTCTAGTCCAGCCTCCCGTCTCACACGGTGGCCAGCCAGTTCCTCCGGAGGGCCAACAACAGGGCTCAAGGGGTCCAGTCCTTCCTGTGAAAAGGACCAGGCAGGAAGTGATGCAAAAGAGCTTTGCTTGAGACCCTGGAGAGCCGCTGCCAGTCTGAGACGGCAACAGTGGCCTTGATGGGAAGGATGGTTTGACTCTGTATGAGGCGGCTTCATGTGATCGTGCCAGTCTTCAAAGGCAGCCCCACGTAGGGTGCATTGCAGTAATCTAACCTGGATGTGATGAGAGCACGGATCACCCTGGTCAGGTTTTTTTGGCAAAGGCACCCTCTCACGGGAAAAGGGATTGGTCTGGTTTCACCGAGTCCCTGTGGTGCTGAACGGGTGTCCCTTGAGATCTCCCCAGCCCTCATAAGAACATAAGAGAAGCCAATCTTGGGTCAGGCCAGTGGCCCATCCAGTCCAACACTCTTCTGTGTCACACAGTGGCCAGAAATACTAGGTGCCATCAGGAGGTCCAGCAGTGGGGCCAGGACACTAGAAGCCTTCTCACTGTTGCCGCCCCCCCCAAGCACCAAGAAGACAGAGCATCCCTTGCCCCAGACCGAGAGTTCCTATCTATACCTTGTGGCTAAGAGCCACTGATGGACCTCTGCTGCATATCTTTATCCATAAGAACATAAGAGAAGCCAATCTTGGGTCACGCCAAAGGCCCTTCCAGTCCAACACTCTGTGTCACACAGTGGCCAGAAATACCAGGTGCCATCAGGAGGTCCACCAGTGGGGCCAGGACATTAGAAGCCCTCCCACTGTTGACCCCACCCCCAAGCACCAAGAATACAGAGCATCCCTTGCCCCAGACCGAGAGTTCCTATCCATGCCTTGTGGCTAATGGCCACTGATGGACTTCTGCTGCATATCTTTATCCATAAGAACATAAGAGAAGCTAATCTTGGGTCACGCCAAAGGCCCATCCAGTCCAACACTCTGTGTCACACAGTGGCCAGAAATACCAGGTGCCATCAGGAGGTCCACCAGTGGGGCCAGGACATTAGAAGCCCTCCCACTGTTGACCCCCCCAAGCATCACTTGCCCAAGAGCTCCTATCTATACCTTGTGGCTAATAGCCACTGATGGACCTCTGCTCCATATGCTTATCCAATTCCCTCTTGAAGCCATCCATGCTTGTAGCCGCCACCACTTCCTGTGGCACTGAATTCCATGTGTGAATCACTCTCTGGGTGAAGGAGGACTTCCTTTGATCCGTTCTAACCCAACCGCTCAGCAATTTCCTTCGATTTCCTCCAGCTTCCCGGCTCCCAAAGAATCTGCCGATCCGGGCTGCCACCTGGTGGTGTGCCAGCAATACAGGCCTTTCCTTTCACAATCAGACCAAGCCTCCTCTTCTCTGGTGGTCTCTTAAACTGCTGGGAGAGGAAAAGGCTGAGCCAGCGTCCTCCCCTTTCGCTGCCCTTGAGTAGCCAAGGAAAAATGTGCTGCCTCTGCCCGTCACTTAGCTGTCTTGGTTAGCAGAGGTTTGTAGACGAGTGTGAAGGCCTCCTATTGAGTGACACATTGGGCCCGACATTTTCTCTCGGCCTACCCTACCTCACAGGGCTGTTGTGAAGACTGGATGGAGAAAGGAAGAACTTTGTAACCTCATGCTCCTGGGAGGAAGGATGGGATTAAAAATGTAATCACTACCTAGATTTCCCCCAGGTATTTGTTGATCCTGCCCCCTTAAAGCTATCCAGTCCAGTGGCTCTCAGCACATCTTGTGGCAGTGAATCCCGCAGGTTCCTTCCCTGCAGTGCATTTTCTCTCTGTCCTGAAAATACTGCCCATTTCACTTGCTGATTCACCATTGAATACATGAAGCTGCCTTATACAGAATCAGACCTTTGGTCCATTGGGGTCAGTATTGCCTATTCAGACTGTAAGCAACTCTCCAGGGTCTCAGGCTGAGGACTTTCACATCACCTACGGCCTGATCCTTTGAGCTGGAGATGATTGAACCCGGGGCCTCCTGCCTGCCAAGCAGATGTTGTACCGCTAAGCTGCAGCACTTCCCCATATTCTGAGTTCATGTAAGGAAAAACAGTTTTATTTGCTCTCTTTGTGTTTTTATAGGCCTGTAGGGATTTAGTGGTTCAAGTGGTTAAGACGCTGAACTGCAGGCTGTGGAACGTCAGTAGTTCAGCAGTCCGAGACCTGGGTGCCGCAAGACGGAGTGAGCTCCCGTCTCTAGTTCCAGCTCCTGCCAACCTAGCAGTTCAAAAGCAAGAAATTGCAAGTAGATAAATAGGGACCACTTCGATGGGAAGGGAACAGCGTTCCATGCACCTCGGTGTTTAGTCATGCCGGCCACATGACCACGGAAACATCTTCGGACAGCGCTGGCTCTTTGGCTTTGAAACGGAGATGAGCACCGCAATCCTAGAGTCGGACTCGACTGGCTTTCGAGCAAGGGAACCTTTGCCTTTTTAAATAGGTACCACTTTGGTGGGAAGGTAACAGCGTTCTGTGCGCCTCGGTGTTTAGTCATGCCGGCCACATGACCATGGAAACATCTTCGGACAGCGCTGGCTCTTTGGCTTGGAAACGGAGATGAGCACCGCAATCCTAGAGTCGGACTCGACTGGCTTTCGAGCAAGGGAACCTTTACCTTTAGGGATTTAGTTGTTGTTTTTACAGTTCCCTGGACAAACTAAGTGACTGTCAGCCGTCTTGTGTGTGTGTGTGACAGATTCCTTTAAATATTCACAAATCAGCATTTCTCCCTCCTCCAATTGCTGCTCCAGTCCCCATCGAAATCAAATGCTTTGCACACCAAAGAATTGTTTAACACGTAGTGTGCACTGTAAATCAGCATTCATCCCTAAGGGACACATGTGTCCCCTGGCCAGCCGCTCTGCTGCCTGAACCAGCTCATCGACTCAGCAACATAAATACAGCCACGTGCCACATGTGAACCAAGCCACATAAGCCACATAAGCAATGCTCATTGTCTTCAATATGTTTGGGTTTGATTCCCCACTCCTCCACTTGCAGCGGCTGGATGACCTTGGGCAAGCCACAGTTCTCTCAAGAGCTGTTCTTGAAAAGGAGCCGTTTCTGCCAGAGCTCCTCCTCCTCCTCGAGGTTAGATTCAGATTGCATAGCCAGGTTGGTCTGAAGCAACAGAACAAAGTTCGAGTCCAGTGGCACCTTTAAGACCAACAAAGTCTTATTCCGGGTATCAGCTTTTAGCGCTGATGCACACTTCTTCAAGAGGGTTTTGGCCAAACAAAGTGTGCTCACGGCCTGATCCACTCTGTGCTTGTTCGGTTGCTCTCACTCTTCAGTGGGCATGCCTACTTACCTACTGGCATAATATGAAGTATGCATGAAATCTTAAGTCCCGCCCATTTGGTGGATATTTTCCCCGCCCAGTCGGCGAGACGTTGCCGTGCACGCCCGGAACGCCCCTCCTGCAATTCCGCGCCCGCCCGCTGCCAAATTGGCAGCAGAGAGCAGCGCTGGCAGCGGGACCAGTGGCGCATGCGCACCTGCCCGATCGCCGCGCGAGCCGCCCCGCTTGCGACGCTCCCAAACGGGCGTGTGAGCTCCGCTGTTGTGCCTTTCTGTCCCTTCTCGGGAACCGTAGCGGCCCGAGCGGCGATGTTTGCGGAGCTGAGCGAGTTGCTGGGGGACTCCGTCGAGCGGCCGCAGCAGGTGAGGGAAGGCCTCGGCCCAGGACCGCCGGGAGGGAAGCGGGGCCGCCGCAGGAGCACACCGGCGGCTCCCAAGGGGCCAGGCGCGCCACGGCGGGAAGTGAAGCATGCTGGGACTCGTAGTCCTTTGGCCTATGGCAGGCGGAGAGGGGCTTGCCGAGGGCTCAGGGTCCGGTTGCCAGCCTCCAGGTGGGGCCTGGGGATCTCCCGCTCTTACAACTGATCTCCAGCTGACAGAGATCAGCCTCCCGGGAGAAAATGGCTGCTTTGAAGGGTGGACTCTTATGTGGCACTGGACCATGCCGATAACCATCTGAGCTTTTTTGGCTTGCTGCATCATTCCCATCAAGTTTTAGAACTCGGGAGTTAAAGCCAAAAAGAGATATTTCGAAAAGCAGCTCCTGAAACTGGCCTGTGTCGGTGTTCCCTCTAAGCTGAGTTAGTGTGAGCTACCTCACAGTTCTTTAGCCTCCGGCTCACACATTCTTGTCTTAGCCTGGAAAGGATGGGGCTTTGGAGCAAACTGATTTATGCAGCAGCCAAATGGCTCACGCACAACTTTAATGCCAGCAGCTCACAAAGTAGAATTTTTGCTCACAAGCAGTGTTCCCTCTAAGCTGAGTTAGTGTGAGCCAGCTCAGAGTCTCTCATTTTTGTCTTAGCTCAGGAAGGAGGGCTCCAGAGCAAACTGATTTATGCAGCAGCCCAATCGCTGACTCACGACTTTAATGCCAGCAGCTCACAAAGTAGAATTTTTGCTCACAAGACTCCACAGCTTAGAGGGAACTGCCCTCCCTCCCTTCCTCCCAGCTGAGTTAGTGTGAGCTAGCTCACAGTTTTTTAGCCTCCGGCTCACACATTTTTATCTTTCCCCCAAAAGGATGGCTCCAGAGCAGACTAATCTATGCAGGCGCCAAATCGCTGGCTCACGACTTTAATGCCAGCGGCTCACAAGGTAGAATTTTTGCTCACAAGACCCCACAGCTTAGAGGGAGTCTTCCTTCCTTTCTTCCTGTGCTCCCTCTAAGCTGAGTTAGTGTGAGCTCTCTCACAGTTTTTTAGCCTCCGTGGAAGGATGGCTACAGAGCAAACAAATGTATGCAGCCGCCAAATCGCTGGCTCACGACTTTAATGCCAGCGGCTCACAAGGTAGAATTTTTGCTCACAAGACCCCACAGCTTAGAGGGAGCATTGCCAGTGTCCTGGAGAATTCCTCTCCCCTGGCAGTATCTGCTGCGCCCTGGCCTTGTAAGCCCAAAGGGGAGACCTGCGGCTTCGTTCTGCGTATCTCCTGCACTTCCTCTACTGCCTTTTGTCCCTTGGCATCTGCTGGCCATTGCTGGGCTTCTCGTGTTATATTTATGCTACTTTTTTGGGGGGGGGAGGATTATCGTTGAGATGGTGGTGTTATGATTTCATGTTCTTAATGGAGATCTGTCGGTCATCTTGGAAACGTATAGTGGGAGCAAGGGGTGCCCGGTCTCCCCCGGCGGAGGACGGGTAACTGGAGTTGCCAGATCCAGGTTGGGAAACTCCTGGAGATTTGGGGGCGGAGCCTGGGGAGCCTCCAAAGCAGCCCTTTTCTCCAGGGGAACTGATCTCTCTAGCCTGGAGCTGTAATTCCGGGGGACCCCCAGGTCCCACCTGGAGACTGGCATCCCTACTGGGAAATACTGGATTTAAATCATTTAAATAAATAGCAGAGTGTCCTCTGCGACTGTGCACTGACTCTGCCATCCTTGCATAGCTGCAGATCATAACTTTTTCAGTCCCACCTGCTGACTGGAGTTTGTTTCTCTTCGTCATCATCACCATCATCATTAGAAGAAGAGATTGGATTTCTGCCCCGCCCTTCACTACCCGAAGGAGTCTGAGAGCGGCTTACAAACTCCTTCCCCTCCCTCTCCCCACAACAGACACCCTGCGAGGTAGGTGGGGCTGAGAGAGCTCTGGACAGAAACTGCCCTTTTTTCAAGGACAGCTCTTATCAGAACTACGGCTTGCCCAAGGTCATCCAGCCAGGTGCATGTGGAGGAGTGAGGAATCAAACCCGGTTCTCCCAAATTAGAGTCTGCGCACTTAACCACTCCACCAAGAAGAAGAGGAAGAGGAGATTGGGTTTATACCCCGCCCTTCACTACCCAAAGGTGTCTCAGAGCGGCTTACAAACTCCTTTCCCTTCCCCTCCCCACAACAGACACCCTGTGAGGTAGGCGAGGCTGAGAGAGCTCTGACAGAACCTGCTCTTTTTTCAAGAACAGCTCTTATCAGAGCTACGGCTTGCCCAAGGTCATCCAGCCAGGTGCATGTGGAGGAGGAGTGGGGAATCAAACCCAGTTCTGCCAGATTAGAGTCCGCGCACTTAACCGCTACACCAAATTGGCTCATTGGAGATGCTGCTGGGGACTACTTAACTACTACACCACACTGGCTCTCTCTCTCTCACCATTTTCAGGCTCCTTCACAGCCTCCCATTGTTTGTCCAGGCGGCAGCCCTATGTTACAGGGCGGACTTCGCCCAGGGGTCCACGCTTTCTCACATCTCAGGGGACTCCAGAGAGGCCCCATAAGACGCGGCGGCCTCTGTTCCGCTGCTTCAAAGTATGGGAAGCTGCCCTTGCAACAGTGATACGGAGTGGGATAATTTCCAGAGGTGGATGTTTTCCAAACAACTTTCTGACGCTTTGTTTTTCTATGGAAAATTTTCCTCCTCAGTATGTTAATATAGTCTCTGTTTATCTGTAGTTGTCGGGGTTGTTGTGCTGCAAGTCAATCATGCCAGACAGGTTAAATCTGGAATATGAAGCAACAACAACCCCCCCCCCCCCCGCGTGTTCATCGTTCAAGGGAGGATGCTGTAGTCCAGCGGATGAGCCTCCACTTTGCATGTAGAAGGTCCCAGTTTTGGTCCCTGGCAGCATCGCCAGTCAAAAGAGCCGGGCAGTAGAGAATGGGAAGGACCTGCCTGGGATCCTAGAGGGCCACTGCCAGTCCGAGCAGGCAAGAGTGAAGTTAATGGTCCGAGGCCGTGGTTCAGTGTAAGGCCTACCGCCACCTTGGGGTCAGGAAGCAGTTTTTCTCCAGGCCATTAGCTGTTGTAGATTTTCTGGCTTGTCTGGCCGTGGCCTTGTAGGACCTGACGTTTCGCCAGCAGCAGTGACTGGCATCCTCAGAGGTATAACACAGAAAGATGGAGGACTCTCTGTGTCACAGTGAGAAGAAAAACGGTAGGCAGGTACTTTATATCAACTCAGGAAGGTGGTGGTAGGGCTGAGTCATTATCTGGTAGGAGTTCCCCAGGCTGTGAACATACTAATGGAGGAGCTTTCCTGCGGAGGTTCTTTTGTATATGGGTTGTTTCCTGAGGAGGTTTCCTGTTTCCTGAGGAGGTTCTTTTGCATGTGGATTCTAATCTTCTCTGTAGTGCTTGGCCAGCCTGAGAGATCAGCAGTGGCTGAACATGGCCTAACTCAAGGAGGACACAGTATTTTGTTCCAAGACACTGAAAGGCTGGACAACACATCCGATTACCGTGTCAGATTACACAGGGAAGCCATTGAAATTCATAAACATACGCACAATGTCAACAGGGAAGAAGAGCGTTTAAAAATAAATAGGGCATGGTTTCCTGTCCCGAAAAACACAAAGGGCTCCACATCTGACAGCGTGAGACCCGGGAGAGCTGTTGCCAGACTGAGTGGACAATACTGACCATGATGGACTGAGGGTCTGATTCAGTAGAGGGCAGCTTCATGTGTAGAGCGCTCTCCGCTCCACCTTCAAGGCCTCTAGGGAGAAAGAGATTTTCCCTTCGAGCCCTCTGGGCAGGAAGGGATTTTTCTTTTTCCAGTTTGGTGTCGTGGTTAAGTGCGGAGACTCTAATCTGGGAGAACCGGGTTTGATTCCCCACTCCTCCGCTTGCACCTGCTGGATGACCTTGGGCAAGCCATAGTCCTGTCAGAGCAGTTCCTGAAAAAGGGCCGTTTCTGTCAAGAGCTCTCTCGGCCCCACCTACCTCACAGGGTGTCTGTTGTGGGGAGGGGAAGGGAAAGGAGTTTGTAAGCTGCTCTGAGATTCCGAGGGAAGGGTGGAGTATAAATCCAATCTCCTCCTCCTCCTTCTCCTCCTCCTCCTGGTTTCCCCGAGGAGAACACAGCAGAGTCAGGTCCTTTGGTGCAATGTTGATGGGGTACCTGTTGAATGTTCAAAGTGATACATGTCCACTTTCTCCCACTAGGGTGATTTGTTCAGTGATCATATCCCAGAGTTATCTGCTGTCAGGGAAGGCTTTTTTCTTCTCACCATGATAGCCAGTTTGGTGTTGTGGTTAAGTGCGCGGACTCTAATCCGGGAGAACCGGGTTTGATTCCCCACTCCTCCACTCGCAGCTGCTGGATGACCTTGGGCAAGCCGTGGTTCTGATCAGAGCTGTCCTTGAAAAAATAGCAGTTTCTGTCAGAGCTCTCTCAGCCCCACCGACCTCACAGGGTGTCTGTTGTGGGGAGGGGAAGGGAAAGGAGATTGTCAGCCGCTCTGAGACACCTTTGGATATCTCTTCTCTTCTTCCTTTAAAGTGGAGGTGCCCGCGAGTGACCCTGGGTGCAAAGCAGGTGTCCTGTCAGTGAAGCCCAAGCCCTCTCTGGTGACCGTTCGGTCTGACGTTCTTGTCTTCTCTTTTCTCTTTCCCATTTCCCAGGGCAAGCTGACCTTGCTGGGTGCCACCAAGACAGATGCCAGCTTCCTGGTTCACCATTTCCTCTCCTTTTATTTAAAAGGTACGCGGGACGACGAGTCATTTCAAAGACATTGCTACAAAACGGCAGGTGCAAGTAGTGGGGCCGGACGCAAAATGGCCGCCACTGGAGGCAGAACCAGCCACTAAATGGCTGCTACGACTTACCATCAGTCACACAGGGACGATCCTTGTGCTGTGGGGGCAGCCAGTGTTCCCTCTAAGCTGAATTAGTGTGAACTAGCTCACAATTTTTTAGCCTCCGGCTCACACATTTTTGTCTTAGCTCAGGAAGGAGAGCTCCAGAGCCGACTAATTGATGCAGTACCCAAATCGCTCGCTCACAACTCGAGAGCCAGTTTGGTGTGGTGGTTAAGTGCGCGGACTCTAACCTGGGAGAACTGGGTTTGATTCCCCACTCCTCCACTTGCACCTGCTGGATGACCTTGGGCAAGCCATAGTTCTGATAGGAGCTGTCCTTGAAAAAACAGCAGTTTCTGTCAAGAGCTCTCTCAGCCCCACCTCCCTCGTAAGGTGTCTGTTGTGGGAAGGGGAAGGGAAAGGAGCTTGTAAGCCGCTCTGAGACTCCCTTGGGTAGTGAATGGCAGGGTATAAATCTAATCTCCTCCTCCTCCTTCTCCTTCTTCATCTTCTTCTTCTTCTTCATGCCAGTAGCTCACAAAGTAGAACTTTTGCTCACAAGACTCCACAGCTTAGGGGGAGCATTGGGGCACCTGCTGCCGAAGTGACATTTGTGTAAAAAATGCATAGTCAGTCAAATCTCCAGTGGCCAATCAGAAGGCTTGGAGGGCAAAAGCCCCACCTGGTCCCGCCCCCTTTCTAAAAGCACTTAGCGGGCCCCGGGAACAGTGTCAGCAGGTGTGGTGGCGCCCACAGGCTCCATCTTGGCGACCCTTGTCTTCTGCAAAGGTCTTTGGTAACTTAACAAATACTGAAGAGAACGGCAGCAAGCCATTGACCTTCCTTCCTTGGCCGGGGTCAGGGTTGGGCTGCCTCATGTGTGGGGAGGAGAACGCTGGGCCCCAGAGGATCTCTTGGCAGTCCGGAAAAATGTTCAGAGGCGCTTGGAATGAAAGGCAGCCAGTGACAGGAAGCAGGAAGGCCCCTATGAGGTCACTTCCTCCTTCCCTTTTGGCCTCATGGCCTCTCATCTTCACGTTTGGGAAAAGGCGTTTGGAAACGTTTGAGCCAATTCCGCAACAAGCCACGCTTTGGGGGCGCGCTTTGGCATCTCGTGCGGCTTCCCGCCTCCCCTCCAAGCGGCCCTCGGCTAAGCCGGGTGATTCGGCCCTTCACATTTATGGTTTCCAGCCTCATTACCCTCCCTGGGAACCTTTTCTGGCTCCCGACGACCCCTCCGGGGGATGGAAGAAGCTGCCTAGGAGCAACCCTTGGGCAGATGTTTTTTGCTCGTCCCTTTGAGCACAGCAACTCCCGACCAACGCTCCCTCTAAGCGGCGGAGTCTTGTGAGCAAAAGTTCTACTTCGCGAGCTCCTGGCATGAAAGTTGTGAGCGAGCGATTGGGCCGCTGCATCAATGAGTCTGCTCTGGAGCCCCATCCCTTCCTAAGCTAAGACAAAAAGGTGTGAGCCAGAGGCTCAGAAACTGTGAGCTTGCTCACACTCACTCAGCTTAGAGGTAACACTGCTCCTGACCCCTCTACTGGAGGTGCCCGGAACTGACTCTGGCCCTTGTAAGTGCAAAACCCTTCCTATTGCTGTCACACACACAGACACACACACACACAGGTGTTCCATGCCAAGAAAAAAATTATCCCGGGGTCAATGTTCCCTCTAAGCTGTGGAGACTTATGAGCAAATATTCTACTTTGTGAGCTGCTGGCATTAAAACTGTGAGCGAGCGATTTGGCAGCCGTATAAATTAGTTTGCTCTAGAGCCATCCCTTCCTGAGCTAAGACAAAAATGTGTGAGCCGGAGGCTAAAAAACTGTGAGCTAGCTCACACTAACTCAGCTTAGAGGGAGCACTGCCCGGGGTTCAAGTTCTAGAAGCGTGGATTGGGAGCAGAGCCGGCTGTTGGCCAGGACTAGGCTTCTCCTGGCTCCGTTTGTGTCCTTCCCAAGAGAACGGGGAAACTTCTCATTTTCGGAAAGATTTTCCAAAGCATTGCTTTGTTTTTGTCTCAGAATCACCTTGCTACTAGAGATGCCTGATCACAGCAAAATGTGTCTCTTTGTCCTCTTCCTCAGCTGGGTGCAAAGTCTGCTTCGTGGCTTTTCTGCAGTCTTTCAGTCACTACAACATTGTGGCCCAAAAGCTGGTAAGCCATCTGAGCGCACGTTTCTGTCATCCTGACTTAGTGGTTGTTTCCTTCCTTCCTTCCTTCCTTCCTTCCTTCCTTCCTTCCTTCCTTCCTTCCTCCATCACAACAATATAGTTATAAAACATAGCAAAGTGCTAGTGCAATTCATGTCTGTCTGTCTGTCTATCTATCTATCTATCTAGCCAGTTTGGTGTAGTGGTTAAGTGCGCGGACTCTAATCTGGGAGAACCGGGTTTGATTCCCCACTCCTCCTTCACTTGCACCTGCTGGATGACCTTGGGCAAGCCACAGTTCTGTCACAGCTGTTATCTCAAGGACAGTCCTTGAAAGAGCTCTCTCAGCCCCACCTCCCTCACAGGGTGTCTGTTGTGGGGAGGGGAAGGGAGAGGAGATTGTCTGCCACTCTGAGACTCCGAGTAAGTGGTGGGATGTAAATCCAATCTCCTCCTCCTCCTCCTCCTTCCTATCATCTTTCATGTCTCCCCGCCTTTCTCCCCAAAGGGGGCCTACGTGGCTTACTTAATTCTCCCATGCTTTACCCTCACAGCAGCACTATGAGGTGGGTTAGGCTGAGAGAGTTTAACTGGCCAAAGGTCACCCAAGTTGTAGAGGTTGTAGGCCGTGCACTCTCTGTACATGTGTGTGTATATGTCAGCATGCACACATGGGTTTCTGATCTGTAGCAAACCCCTTGTGGTTTTGTATTACACAAATAACTTCTGCCTCTCTTGCCCTCGTCGCATCAGTTGCAAGCTGTCTCCACACGGCTCCATCATTTCTGTACTCTCCATCGGACTTAATCTCGTCGGATGCCTAGGTCTTCTTTTCCTTGAGATCTTGGGCTTTTTCTCCACCACATGGCAGAAGGAAAGTGGGACAGTGGCTCAGGGGAAGAGCCTCTGCTTGTCATGCAGAAGGTCCCAGGTTGAATCCCCGGCAGTGTCTTCAGTTAAAAGAACCAGGTAGTGAGGTGATGGGGGAGACCTTTCTCTAGAAGAAGAGAAGACGAGAAGAGATTGGATTTATACCCCGCCCTTCACTACCCAGAGGAGTCCCAGAGTGGCTTACAAACTCCTTTCCCTCCCCCTCCCCACAACAGACAGCCTGTGAGGGAGGTGGGGCTGAGAGAGCTCTGGACAGAAACTGCTCTTTTTCAAGGACAGCTCTTAGCAGAACTACGGCTTACCCAAGGTCATCCAACCAGGTACAAGTGGAGGAGGAGTGGGGAATCAAACCCGGTCCTCCCGGATTAGAGTCCGCGCACTTCACCAAGACACCAAACTGAAGAACAGGAGGAGGAGATTGGATTTATACCCCGCCCTTCACTACCCAGAGGAGTTGCAGAGCGGCTTACAAACTCCTTTCCCTTCCCCTTCCCCTCCCCACAACAGACACCCTGTGAGGTCGGCGGGGCTGAGAAAGCTCTGACAGAAATGGCTCTTTTTCAAGAACAGCCCTTATCAGAACTACGGCTTGCCCAAGGTCATCCAGCCAGGTGCATGTGGAGGAGTGGGGAATCGAACCCGGTTCTCCCAGATTAGAGTCCGCGCTCCTAACCACGACACCAAACTGGCTCTACCTGAGGCCCTGGAAAGTCACTGCCGGTCTGAGTAGACAATACTGATCATGATGGACTGCTTTAGTAGAAGGCAGTTTCATGTGTTCATGGTCTTTAGGAAGGGCTGTGACTTCATGGTCGAACATCTGTTTGGCACGTAGAAGGTCCCATGTTCAGTCACTGGCATCTCCATTTAAAACTGGATCAAGTAGTAGGTGATGTGAAAGACCTCCTCTGCCTGAGGCCCTGGAGAGCTGCTGCCAAGTCTGAGTAGACACCAAGGCTCCCTCTAAGCTGTGGAGTCTCGTGAGCCAAAATTCTACTTTGTGAGCTCCTGGCATTCAAGCTGTGAGCGTGCGATTCGGCTGCTGCATCAATCAGTTTGCTCTGGAGCCCTCCTTCCTGAGCAAAGCCAAGACTGTGTGAGCCGGAGGTTAAAGAACCGTGAGCTAGCTCACAGTGACTCAGCTTAGAGGAAACACTGGCTGCAATGCTCCCTCTAAGCTGTGGAGTCTTGTGAGCCAAAGTTCTACTTTGTGAGCTCCTGGCATTCAAGCTGTGAGCGAGCGATTCGGCTGCTGCATCAATCAGTTTGCTCTGGAGCCCTCCTTCCTGAGCTAAGGTACATGTGTGAGCTGGAGGCTAAAGAACTCTGACCTAGCTCACACTATTTCAGCTTAGAGGGAACACAGGACAGGACCAATGTTCCCTCTAAGCTGTGGAGTCCTGTGAGCAAAAAGTCTACTTTGTGAGCTACCGGCATCAAAGTTGTGAGCAAGTGATTTGGCTGCTGCATAGATTAGCTTGCTGTGAAGCCATCCTTCCTGAGCGAAGACAAAAATGTGTGAGCCGGAGGCTAAAAAACTGTGAGCTGGCTCACACTAACTCAGCTTAGAGGGAACACTGGACAGGATTGACCTGGATGAACCAGGAGTCCGATTCAGTATAAGGCAGCTTCGTGTATATTCATGTGTGTATAACTTGGGAGGGGAAGATCCACTCTCTTATTTCCACAACCTTGCTTCACACATCTGCTCGTACAGGGAGAGATGTTAGCCCTCCTGAAACCGTCAGCCTGTCGGAGTCCCTACGTCACTGAATCCGTTCTGTCAATAAATTGTCCTTGGTGTTTTGAACTATCTTGTTACTCCTATGCCGGAGTCTACCATGTCAGCCCAAAAATGCTGCCATGCTTCTAGGAGTTGCAGAGAGGCTGTGGCTCAGTGGTAGAGCATCCGCTTGGCATGCAGAAGACCCCAAGTTCAATCCCTGGCCACTTGAGTGGAAATGATGGAGGAGGAGGAGGAGATTGGATTGATACCCCGCCCTTCACTACCCAAAGGAGTCTCAGAGCGGCTTACAGTCTCCTTTCCCTTCCCTTCCCCACAACAGACACCCTGTGAGGTCGGTGGGGCTGAGAGAGCTCTTTCGAGGACTGCCATTGGGAGAACAGCTATGAGAGAACTTGTGACTGGCCCAAGGTCACACCAGCTGCTGCATGTGGAGGAGGAGTGGGGAATCAAACCCAGTTCTCCCAGATTAGAAGAAGAAGAGATTGGATTTATACCCTGCCCTTCACTACCCAGAGGAGTCTCAGAGCAGCTCACAATCTCCTTGCCATTCCCCTCCCCACAACAGACACCCTGGGAGGGAGGTGGGGCTGAGAAAGCTCTGACAGAAACAGCTCTTTTTCAAGGACAGCTCTGATAGAACTATGGCTTGCCCAAGGTCATCCAGCAGCTGCAAGTGGAGGAGTAGGTAATGCAAAAGACCTCTGCTGAGACACTGGAGAGCTGCTGCCATTCTGAGTAGACACCCCTGAGCTTGATGGACCCTCAGGGCCTTATTCAGTGGAAGGCAGCTTCATGCGTTCATGTCTGATGCAGTTTGGAAGGGTCTGTGGCTCAGTGGCAGAGCATTTGCTTGGCATGGTAGGCCCCAGGGTCAAGGCAGTTGTCGGTGTATCAGTGTAGTGTTAAAACGCTTACAGCATTGCAATAGTTCCTACTACCAATTTTTTTCCCCAAAAAAGGCAAAACTTCTGCCAGAGGCAGGGGAAGATAGTGGACAGAAGGGTAAATCCCAGAGAAAATCTGTGTGCAGTTCTCTTTATTTATTATTACTTTTTAATTATTTATTTAACTCATCTATCGTCCACCTTTCTTCTCATGGGGGAACCAAAGTGACCTATACCGTTCTCCTCTCCTCTGTTTTATCCTCACAACAGCCCTGTGAGGTGGGTTCAGCTATGAGCGTGTGACTGGCCCAAGGCCACCCAACAAACATGGACGGCTTCAAAAGGGAATTAGATAAGCATATGGAGAAGAGGTCCATCAGTGGCTATTAGCCATAAGGGATAGAGAGGAACTCTCAGTCTGGGACAAGGGATGCTCTGTATTCTTGTTGGGGGGGGTTTTGGGTGGGGGGGGCAACAGTGGGAGGGCTTTTGGAGTTCTGGCCCCACTGCTGGACCTCCTGATGGTATTTTTGGCCACTGTGTGACAGAGTGTTGGACTGGATGGGCCTTTGGCCTGATCCAACATTGGCGTCTCTTATGTCCTTAAGTTCTTATGGAGCCAGTTTGGCATAGTGGTTAAGAGCGGCGGACTCTAATCTGGGAGAACCAGGTTTGATTCCCCACTCCTCCACATATAAAGCCTGCTGGGTGACCTTGGGTCAGTCACAAGTTCTCTCAGAGCTGTTCTCTCATGAACAGTCTTCG